AGGGCATAGATATTGGAGAAGTGTATTTCAGGATGGATTTCTGGAAAGCATCCTAGGACAAATGACTGAGGAGATGACTTTTGGAAAAGTTGAGTCATATAATAATGTATTTAAATTTCTGCTCATTTTGATACCCCCTCAGAGAACATATTGCTTTTTGGAAACAATAATTATTTATTTTCTACTTATGTTTTTATCTACACACAGGGTTCATGTTACAGTGCTTGGAATGCAACAGTGCTTAATGACTTGAAATAGGACATTCTTGGGAAGGAAGAGGAATGTAGAGTAGATAATAAGTTTTAATGGTTAAGACCTCAGATGGGAAAGCTATACTAAGGGATATAATAAGTGTTTTTCTTTCAAGTATAGTTTCTTGGCTAATTAACAAATGCTATTTTAACTATAATCAATTCTTGATGACATAATGCAATAAGGCATTATTAGGAAAAACAGAATTATTGTCTTCCTTTCAATGATTCCTCAAAGTATTCTTGAAAACTTGTGCAACGGGAGACAGGCCTATTTTTTAGTGGTTTAGAATATAACCTACTCTACACACTTATTCTAAGTTAATTTGGTCTGGTTTTAAGCAAATCTCTTTCATAATTAAATTTAACATGCTGATTTGTTCCATTTATTGAAGTACTCCAAGATGTAGAAATTTCAACCGCAGGAAGGAAGTTTATTTCTCAACTTGCACTTATTACACAAGAGGCATCAAATTGCTCATGAATTAACAGCAGGACAGCAATTGTCATTTCCTGGTGTGAGACTATCACAGTTAAGGCAGAAGTCTGACCTGGTCATCATGTGTCTTGGGATATGTTCTCAGAAGGCTAAGCCTCATGTTCAGTTTATACAAACAATGTGACTATTAAGTAGAGGGGAATCCAGATCTTAGAGCAAGAATGGTAAAGTCGGACGGCCTTGCCAAGTTCATCTTTGGAGCTTAACTTTGGACTACCGCTTCCCACGTACTGGCATTGCCACAGGAAATGCTGCTTTGTGGTTCAAAGAACTTGTTGGACTCATGACTCAACAAACTAACATATCAGCAGAAGGAAATAGTATTGTGCAATATGCATTACTTAGAGCACACACTATTGGGGGAAAAAAGTCAGCAGGACTCAGCCTGCAGCCTCAGATCTGCCAAACTTGAGTCCACTAAAAGAAGCAGAAATGAAACAAGAGGAGGAACAGTCTGATCTTGGTGGGAAAGGCAACAGGATGCCAGCAGACTCAAGGTCTTGCTGTTTTCCCTCTTCTATTGTAATGGTGAAACCAAGCATGACCCTGTGGGGCCCCTGGGCCTGGAAGTCTTTCTGTGTCCCCCATGGAGGCTGAAATAGACTTCAGCCTCCATGACCTTCCCTGAATTCCAAAGGGCAGGTTCAAACAGTTGCTAATCGGGGAAGGCAGGAGATGCAGAAATAAGGGAGAAGCAGTCAAGAAACAATAGTGCAGAATTCCCTAGAGGTCCAGCAGTTAGAACTCTGTGCTTTCACTACCCGAGGGCCTAGGTTCAATCCCTGGTCAGGGAACTAAGATCCCACAAGCTGTGAGGTGTGGCCAGAAAAAACAAACAAAACAAACAAACAAAACATTAGTGCAGCCTTGAGACAGGATCCTGGTTCTGCCTCAAGAGATACACATAACAATATCTCTGAGCTCTTCTGCAAAACTAAAACCCCCAACAAATGGAAGATGTTAACTACTTGATGAAGCATTCTTCATTCCAGAGAGAAGGTCACAATTTGACAACCTCAAGAACCACAGAAGCTCATCAGGAGACCACGTGAGGCCAGATTAAAGGAATGCAGCCCCTGCACACACCCTGGTCTTATCAGAAGCCCTGCCCTTGAACCATTGCGATAAAACTCCTCACCAAATCCCCCCTGGGTTGGACACACAGTTTTGAGGGCATTAGCCCACTGTGTCCCTCTTTGCCTGGCAAAGCAATAAAGCTATTTTTTCTACCCTGTCTCCAAGATTCAATTTGGCTGTGGTGCACAGAGGCTGAGTTTCGGTATAATAGCAGGCCCATGACAAATGTATGCAAATGTAACATGGAAGATAGTTTCTCGAAGATGACTTCTTTGTGCCAAATGTTTCCCTGGTTTTCTTTGGCCTAGACTATGGATGATAATTAGCTTATTTTAGAGTTTAGCCCTTCCAGTTTTCCTCCAAGCTAGGGCCAAGGGTGTTTATCTCACAGAAAGATCAGGGCCTTACATGCAGGGCTAGGAGTGAGAGAGGCCAGAGGGCAGGGTGAGAACACAGGGACGTGTCCCTAATACTCCATTCCTTTCTCCCACTCCTCCTAGTATCTCAGACTGGCTAGAGTTCACTCAAGGAATAGTGATTGTCATCTAAACTGGGGAGCAGAGATGCCTGTCATTTGTAAAACCACTTTACTTTATACAAACCCCTGCTCAAAAATCTCCTCTTGAAGAACAGGACATGCACACTGACACCCTAGAGTAAAATACGGTCATAGTTTCATTAAAAGAAAAACTCAGAAGAAGTAACTTTTTGTAACTGGAAAGTCATCATCCCAAGGAGACTGTAGGAGCTTATCCTTCGGTCAGTGAGTGTTTCCTGGCATTGCTTACAGTCATAGCTGAGCTCAAACCAGCTCATTTCACTCCAAGAGCTGAGTCTTAGGTTAATAATTCTGTCAGCCAGTTAATAATTCTCGGCAGCATAAATTTGGCCATGGGGAGAATGCTTATACCATGGAAATCAGCAAATGCTATAAATCTGGGCTTTTCCTTTTTTTTTTTTTTTCTTGAGAGTTGCGTTACCAACATGCTACTAATACATATAATCTCTCTCAGATCTGCATGAACGTGATCCCCTATTCCCTCTCCCTTCTATAGCCTCTGTCATCTGCCCCACTGTCCTCTGCTCCGATCCTTTGGACATTTTTTCTTTCCCTTAGCTGTCCTTTTCTCTTTCATTTTTTATTTTTTTCCTGGGGTTTACCATTCAGGCAGCTTTCATGCATGGAAGATGCTTGGGAGTTTGTTCTCCTTGGACTGATCAGAGAAAACAACTTTGTCTGGGGGGGGGGGGGGTTTGGTGGGCACAAGCAAAACTCTAGAAATGAAATTCTAGAAGATGAAGGATTTATTCCACTGAGATCATTAACCCGAGCACCCCTGCCTGCATGTCCTGGGGCTGGTGAGGCATTCTGTTATCCCCAAATTACTATTAACAGACACCAAGTGGCAATTCTCAATGACTAGCTCCCCTAATCAGCCTCAATCCCAGAACATACTGTTTTATTCTAAGCAACAACTGAAGTCTGTATGCCCTAGGAATGAAGTGTGTATTTGTGGGTGGTTTAAACATTCCAAAATGAATGTGGAAAGAGATAGTGTGTTAGAATTGAAGGAACCTTAGAAATAATCTTGTCCAACTTGCTTTTTCATATGGTGAGGAAACAGAGGCACAGAGAGGTAGTGGTAGAGATCGTGGTAGAACCGAGACTGGGATTCAGAACCCTGACTCCTACTTCTGGGAACTTTCAAATTTGCAACCACGTCTATTTTTTTTTTTTAATATTATAACTGGGGCCAAGATAACATTCATTCAAATCAACAAATACTTTTTTGGACTATCAGATTTATATCTATGTGCACTTACCTATCCTAGGCACTGTACTAGGAGTTGAGGCTATAGACAAGTTCCCCACTTTCCTAGAGCTTTCTTTTGAGAACAAAGATTATTTGTGTTAGCATGACTTAATAACTCTGTGTTCCAAGAACTTCTAACCTGGAAAATAAAACTGTCATCCAACTGAGAACTCTATTGTTTGCTTCAGGAAATGTTTATAAGTCAGTTTATCTGGATCCGCAATCTGATCATCTTGGCTAACAGCCCTTGTATTAGACAATAGGCTGCTTATCGAGATTCCCATCCAGACACTTGTCATTCCTCACCTCACTTGTCGACCGATCCGAAATTATCGTGTCAGCTAACTTTGTCCAATTCCAGGCAATTTCCTGCCCTGAATGTCCTGTTTTAAATTTTTGATCCCAGTCCCCCTAATATCCTCTCTTCTGAGAAACTATGATTCTGTCAAAAATACTCTTCGCCATGTTAAATAAATCTAACACCTACCTTCTCCTGATCAAAAGATTTTTGTTGTTGGTATTTCTGAAGAGGTAACGGTGGATACATTCTACAGGAGAACTGGATGTAAGAATGAGGGATATATATTTATCATGACCTGTCTGGGTGCAGTAGGACCTTCACTTGCCACATTCTGTAGTGACGTAATTTGCCCTGGAAATGTTTGGCTGTATGTTGCTTTACAAACTTGGTAAGTACACAGAGGTTTTCTGTGAAATTCCAATTTAAAAAGTTCTACTACTCTTCAGTGCATACTTAGGATTGGAAATTCTGCTCTCTGATTCTGGAAGTTTGGTGCCAAAATTCATAGGAGAATGCAGGAGTGGGTGACTGAATACAAGTCAAAGAAAGGCATCATGGGAGGAGCAACTCCAGGAAGCCACAGAACATCATCCCAAACTAGATGGGAAAGTTCTTGATTTAATGTAATTTTAAACATTATTGTTTTTATTCATTTTCCTTAGGGTTTAAGTCACTGTGTTCTCTAATTAGCCTTTTGTGTAAAATTCTCCGCCCCCTCCCCCATTGGAAATACTATACAGCATGAAATACAGTAACCACAAGCACCTAAATGACAAGGGCGGGACTGGGGGGGACCCTAAACTGGTCACAAGGAGGTGATCTCTGGGAGGCCTCATCATGGCCTGGACGGCACAGGCCTCAAAGCTACCTCCTTTGCCTTTAATCCCATCCAGTCTTTGATTACTCAGGCATTTAGCAGAAAGAACCTTCTGGTTAGAGGATAGCAACATACAGGTTAGGTTAAGACTAGGATTACCATTTGCAGAAATATCAATTTCTCAAAGAGGAATTATTTATTTGTTTGCTTATTTATTTATTATGCACCTGCTGAGATTTATCACTGTGCTATGTACTCTTGTCCTCAGACACAAGGTCCAGCTTTTCTTCCAGAAGAGTTTACAGTGTAGGTGGGAGAGCACCTGACACCTCACCTGACACCTGACAGCAGTTCCAGGTAAACTGCCCTAAGTGCTTTAAGAATTCAGACTAAGGGCCACCTTACAGCTGCCCAAAGTTCCCTTGTGAGGTCAGAAGTCAGAATCTCATTCTTGTTGAGTAGAATTCACTCATTCAACAAATATATATTGAGCACCTACTATGTTCTGGGTAGTATTATAGGAAGTTTGGACCCATAAGTGAATAAAATGGACAAAAATCCCTGCCTCATGGAGCTTTCATTCTGGTAGGAGCTTGGTTTATCTGCTTCTGTACTGGGTTTGTTTTACCATGCATGACCATGTCCCATGATGCTTTGCAGCACTCAAGATAAGCAGGATGGTTGAAGTTAACAAGATGATTCACCAGAACCCATTCTGAGAAAGTAAGGGACAGAACAAGGAAGCAGAAATGACTTCCTCATGTAATTTTAAACCTTGCCTTAAGCATGTCCTTGAAAATTTCCAGTCCAAAGTAATAATTCATGGACCCAGCACACTTTCCCTTTCTATAAAGTCCTGCCTATTGGACGTACCAGCCTGAAAGCTGGGGAGAGTGGAGAATGAAGGGTTCTGCTGGACCTAGAGTCTGGAAAACTGGTTCCACAGTCTCCGCTCTGTAACTAACTAGCTGTGTAACCACAGGAAGTGGGTTATTATCTCTGTTACCCATGACAGATCATTCCAAAAACTCCAAAGTGTTTCACAAATGCATGAGCTCATTAGTAGACATGTTAATGTCTAGGTTTATGCGGCTTGAGGTTATCATAGAGGTCACAATAAAGAACAACAGCTGGGCAACGCTGCCAAGAGAGCGAGGGTTAAAATATGTTAAGTATCTGCTCAATACAGTGTGCCCCAGGATGCTGGTTTATTCGTTGGATTAGTTTGATTCTCACACCAGCCTTGAAGCTGAATCGGCCTCTCTATCCCAACACCGAATTAAATCTTGGAGACAGAGTTTTGGGTGAAGTAGAAAAGAATAGCTTTATTGCTTTGCCAGGCAAAGGGGGCCACAGCAGGATAACGCCCTCAAGGCTGTGTGACCCAATTGAGTGGGTAGTAAGGAGTTTTATAATAATGGTTCAAAGAGGGTGTGATCAGCTCGAGAAACTTCTTCAATTGGTTGGTGGAGAGGTAAGTGGGAGCCAGCATCATCAACCTTCTGGTTCCAGCAGGTCTGGGGTCTATGTGTTTGTGGGTAGCATACTGTTAACTTCTCCCACCTGGTGGGGGTTTCAGCATCTGCAAAACAGCTCAAAGAGATTGTTGTGTATATGCCTTGAGGGAGAACCAGGACCGTTCCCCAAGGCTGCACTGTTGTTTCTCTTGTCTGTTCCTCCCTTGTCTCAGCATCCCCTCCCTTCCCTAATTAGCAACTGTTTGATCCCTTCCCTTGGAACTCAAGGAAGGTCCTGGAGGCTGAATGAAGCCTATTTCCTGTAATCAAGAAATGGGGGGCACAGAAAGGTTTTTGTGCTCAGGAGCCCCTCCTGCTTGGCATTAGCCTCACCAGGAAGGATTATCAGCCCTTCACCCACGAGTTGACTGGAACTCAGAGAGATTGTCCTTAGTCACACAGGCAGCAAGTGGGTGAGCTGGGATTCTAGGTTAGAGCAATATGACTGGACCAGGCAGCTGCCTTTTCCCAGTAAGTGGTACTATCACAGTGTTTGATTAAAATACCATTTCCCTGAAACAAAGAAATAATAGCTTTAAAATTTTTTTTGGCCAGGGAAGACATTTTGAGCATATTTAAATATATGAGGACCAATTTCTTTTCTTTAAAAAAATTTTAAAGCAATTTATTGGATTATGAGTATAATGACTTTTTTGCTTGTTTTTTCAGCTTTATTGAGGTATAATTGACATATAAAATTGTAAGATATTTAAAGTATACGTGGTGATGATTTGATATATGTATACATTGTGAAAGGATTCCTCCCATCTAGTTAATTAACACATCCATAACTTTACACACTTTTCCCTTTTTTTGTGTGTGAGAACATTTAAGTTCTACTCTCCTAGCAAATTTCAGTTACACAAAACAGTATTATCAACTACAGTCACCACGTTATACATTAGATTCTCTGGACCATTTTTTTCTTTAAATATGCATCTGGTATGAAATGTCTGATATTTATCTGGTTCAGTTAGTTGAATTATTTTCTAACATTAAGAGCGACTACAGTAGCAATTTCATTAGTGGATTTGAGATTGAGTTTAGAGTATTCCTTTAAATAGATCTAAGTCTTTCAAAAATAATAAAGAACTCATGTAAGAAATAGAATTGAATTTCTGTGACACCTTGATAATGATACCTATCGCTTATTGAGTATATATTCTGTGTTAGACACTGGTTGACAAAAATGTACCTTAATTGGCCCTCACCCCCTTCTGAGTTCCTTGGATCACCCTTGTATTAGAGGTAAGGAAATGGAGACCGAGAGAAAGAGCAGCAAAGTCACACAGAGAGTAAGTAAATTGTAGTGGTGGATTCAAACCCAGGGTGGACCGCCTTTTACAGATACTGCTCTTGAATGCCACGTGAATTCAAGTGAGGGGACAAAGGCCTCTCTGCTGAAGACACCAACAGAGCAGTATACACATGAAACTTTAAAAATATCTTAAGTTATGCATATCCTGACTTTGTAGGGTCATACAATTATGGGGCCACTCTAAACGAAAGAATACAAATTACAATGAAAAATGAACATTAATTTTAAATAAGAAAAAATTTATAGCAAATTACAAATTCATAAAGCTGAAAAACACCATAAACAGAAAAAAAATAGTATGTGCTTATTAAATAACTGCTTGCAATATCTCTAAAATACTCTTACTCTTTGGTTTTGGTTACATACCGTTGATCTCCTCTTCACATAACAATGATTTTTTAAGATGATCTTTTATGCATAGAAAGATAGTTTATTCTTTCTGTTAGGATGGTTGATCAAAATTTGTTTTTATTATAGATAGCTGGATGCATAAAGCATAACATTTCATATACAGATGTACTTATTTGTTGTGCTATTGCAGGTGCATGCTCCACAAACATAGGATTCCAGTCAAATAGCAAAAAAAGTATGAAACAATTGTAGTTGTAGTCCCTGAATTATTAACTATATTCCTGAAATGAGAAGGTTTGTTTTGTTGAGGGTTGATGTGAACTGAATCCTCTGCTCTTGACTTTACATTTTGATAACTGAAAGAGTTTTCCCCAGACTAGCTTCTGGCTCTGTGTATTTCAATCTTGTTTCTCCCATACCTACCTCATTTTATTGTTGTCCACCTTAAGACCCATTCTAATCCTCATATCAGGAAGGTGGGTGAGTAGGCAGAGTAAGTAGAGGGATATTCCTAGCAACTAGTCTCACACCAGGATGGCTAGTAAAAACAGAACCATTCATAACATGACTGTGAACCAGTAAAATATATATCATTAAATCTACATTTAAACATCTTCAACTCAACTTCTCCTCAACCAGATCTCAAAAGCACAGCTAGATCGACATCATCCAGTATAAGCAGAAGTGTAAGGAAGGAAAGTGAGAGTGAGAAAAATAAGCAGTCATAACAAATTTGGTTAAAATATGTGACTTCAGCAAATTTTATAAAAATATATGACTCTTGTTAGTAAACTAGTGAGGGTCCTGGAGCTTAAACTAATTAGCTTCGTGATATATCCACCTATGGCTGTGATGAAGTTCTCATCTATCTGAGAGGCATCATTGCTTAAAACATGTAAAACTGTTCATCCTTATGTTTAGGTTAGTAAATATGACCCTAGTAACTGGTAACAGTGACAAATATAAGAGGATTCTGTTGTATGGTCAAAACGGTGAATCAGATCTAGGTCACTGAAATATTTTTATGAAAAACTTACATTAGGGTAGGTTCAAAGAGATGTTTCTTTCCTTGGTTTAGTATTTTGAACTAGCCACAAAGATTTCTTTCTGCCTTTCTGATGTCCACCCAAACCACTCTCACATCTGCTATATTAAAGTTTGCATGTTAGGGCTTCCCTGGTGGCGCAGTGGTTGAGAGTCCGCCTGCCGATGCAGGGGACACGGGTTCGTGCCCCAGTCCGGGAAGATCCCACGTGCCATGGAGCGGCTAGGCCCGTGAGCCATGGCCGCTGAGCCTGCGCGTCCGGAGCCTGTGCTCCACAACGGGAGAGGCCACAGCAGTGAGAGGCCCGCGTACCGCAAAAAAAAAAAAGAAAGAAAGAAAAAAAATTTGCACGTTAAATTTTAATTCATCAAATTTATAAACTAACTCTCACATGGTTTCCTCTTGTAACTCCTAAAAGCAAAGTTAATGTGGGAGATTTTTTCAGTGGTTGATTTATCCTCAGGGTAACAGTGCCCTGTTACTCTTTTTCTCTGGGGGCACCTATGATAGAAATGTTGGGGGAAAGGGACTTTAGAGGGAGATTCTGAAATCGTTGGGAAATTCCACAACTGTTCTTCATAGCCATGTCAACAAATGACTTCATCCAGGATCCATGATTCATACATCAGGCATGCCGATGTTGGAATAGGGTCAACAGAAGGAAGCTGACTTCAGACACAGGGACTCACAGCTGCTGAGCCAGAATAACTTTGAAAGATGTCTTCTTTTTCGCAGATTTTTCTTGAATGTTCGCTCTGTGTGATGTGCTAGGGACTCAAATTCAACTCCTGTTGTTAAGGGAAAAGAAACCAAGAAGTCACTTAGGAAAGGGTACAGTGGGCTAGAGGAAGGCTCACAGACAGGAGAGGGCAAACCTTGAGATCCTCACTCTTATGGTGAGGTGGAGGCTGAAAGAATGAACTTTCAGGAAGTGCCCACACCGTGTTGCGACCTGGGCTGAATTTTAAAAGTTGCATTGGTTTTGTCATGTAGAAAAGAGGAAAGATACTCCAGACAGAGAAAATAGTATGAGCAAAAATTCAGAGGTGCAAGAATGTAAAAGACTAAAACTGAGGGTGGGAGGAGAGAGACATCTAGAGAGGAGGTTAGAGAGAACAGAAGGGGCCAAGCAGAGAAAAACTTTTATCAGGGCAAGAATGTAAACTATCCTGAAGGCCATGGCAAGGGGGTAGACACTGATGATTAAGGCTGGGAAAAGACATGGCCAGGTTCCTATTTTAGAGAGTTCACTTGGCAGACGTGAGTGAACGGTGGAGGGTGAAAGCTTGGGGTTAGACCATTTAGGAGATATTCTGTGGTGGTCTGGGGGAGAGAAAGGGGAGCTCAGTCCAGTGTAGTGGAGCTAGGAAGGGAGAAGAAATTTGCTAAGAAATTATTTTAAAAGACTAGGTAGTGTTACATGTTGGAATACTTCACAGATGCAAGTAGAAGTAGAAATACTGGCCAGACAATTGTGAACTAGAAGTACTGATTGATATTAAGAAATGCTAACGACACAATAGCAGCTGAAATAACCAAGACCTAAAGTTGTGGCATACACAACAACACACAAGATTGAAAGGAAATATATCAAAGCCTTAAGAGCCATCATCTCTGGATAGTGAGATGACAGATAACTTTTATTTTCTTTTTTATATTTTTATATAGTCAGAATGAATCATATTTGTAATGCAGAACTCTGACGAAAGTTAAGGAGAAAAGAAGGATGAAAGGAAGTGAAAAAAAGGAGGAAGGCCAAAAGGAGACATTTCAGAGATGTTAAGGAGATACACTCAGTGGTGTATGGGAAGTGGAAATGGTTTCATAAAGAGACAGAGACTTATGATTCTTACAGAGGCCTCTTTAACTTAACCTATTCTAGAAGTTTCTACAAAGCAAGCATTATAGGCTATAGGACCCAGGTTGGCTATATAGTAGGTTGGGGAGTAAACATGAGATTGGAGCCAGGGTGGGAAAGTACTTAAGTTGTGTTCTTCTGACTGTCCATTAGTTTAGCTATGGCTGCTGAGGTATCTGGAGGGGAATGTGTAATGTGTTTTGTAGGAAAGCAGCAGACTTTGATTCTGGTTTCGTGAATAGAGGCTGCCCTGCTGAAGTCGGATCCCTGACTGGCTACGCAACTCTGCCCCGTCCCTGTCCAGCCCTAGGCTCTACTTTCCTGACTCAGAGCATTCGATGCCTTGGTTGTTTGTATATATTGAGAATTTGAATGTGTTGGAGCAGAATATTGTGGTAAGTACCCAGTCGTTATCTGCCCTGTCAGCTGCTTTTTCTTTTCTGAGCCCTTGGAAAATGAACCATAATACTCATAACTATATTAATAACAATAGTCACAATGATGACTAAAAAATAGGGACAATACAATATATTTGACAAAAGACTTAGGAATAATAACAGCAGCTTCACTGAGTGTTCAAAGGTTCAAATTTGGGGGGGTCATGTTTTTTCCAAGAAGAGTCATCAAGTGGCCTGAAATTCTGCGCAATATCTTCCCTTATTAGAGCTGTCTCTATGAGCAAGCTCAGTGTCGCTGAAGGAGAGACCATGTAGGTGCTCCTTTCTTCCTTGGAGGGCCACTTCTCTCTCTGCATACCACCTTGGCCTTAAGAACTCTATGCTCAAACGCAGAGTTCAGTTCATAAATACATTCCCCCAACATGACTAAAAGGTCCTATCCATGTGCTCCCATGGCTTCTGCACTTATCTATATTATGACACTCCACCCATTGCATTTTTTTTTTTTTTTTTTTGCGGTACGTGGGCCTCTCACTGTTGTGGCCTCTCCCGTTGTGGAGCACATGCTCCGGACGTGCAGGCTCAGCGGCCATGGCTCACGGGCCCAGCCGCTCCACGGCACATGGGATCCTCCTGGACCGGGGCACGAACCCGTGTCCCCTGCACCGGCAGGCGGACTCTCAACCCCTGCGCCACCACGGAAGCCCCACCCATTGCATTTTACTTACCTGTCTGTACTCTCACTAGATTTTAACATCTATAAAGAAATTATATCTTATTCACTGTTGTATCCACAGCACCCGCCACAAAGCCTGGCACATAACATGCTGAAGAGGTTTTGCTAAATAATTAATGACAGATTTTGTTAAGTGACATTGTTAAATTAATAAACAAAGGATTAAGTTCAGAAAAAATACAAAAGTTAAAAACAAGAAGACCCAAATACTTCTAACATTTGCTCCCATTCACTAGCCAGCACTTTAATGTAGATTTCACCCCTCCCTCCCCCAAGACACACACATATGCCTTACTGTTGCTTTAAGCTCCTGAAAAGAGGAAAGGTGCTAGATCAAAATATTTACTAGTTGTAACTACTGCAAGACTCTTGGACAGTGCTTATTATAGCCAGAAACTGAAACTATTCTTACAAAACGAGAGGAAGAACAGTGGGAACAGAGCGAGGGAGTTTCACTAAGCAAGTCTTTTTTTCTAGGGCACAAACTGATACTTCAATGTCTATTTTGAGGGGGTGCAAAATTATTTTAACTATTATTTGTGCATATGGAAATAGGGATATATATTCTTATATGAGGCAGCAAGAAGTACAAAACATCACCTTGGATATCGCTGCCCCAAATGAATCTAATCATGAAGAAATATGAGCCAAAACCAAGTTGAGGAAATTTTGTTTCGGAATAAAGAAAACTAAAGACATATGACAACTAAAGGCAATATGTAATCCTAGATTTGGATCCTAGAATAGTTGTATCTTTCTCTGTCTCTGTCCACCAATCCATTTATCATTCATCTATGTATCCATCCATGTATCCATCTATCTATCCAACTATTCATCTATGTAAAGAATATCATTGGGACAATTGTCATAAACTGGATAAAGTTTGCAGATTAAATTGTATCACTCTTAATTTCCTAGTTTTGATCATTGTAACGCATTAGAGGAGAATTTTCTTGTTCTTAGGAAATACTGGGAAATCTGAGTGAAGTGTATTCTAGAATTCTTTATACTCTTCTTACAGCTTTTCTGTAAGTTTAAAGTTATTTCATATATAAAATAGATAACCAACAAGGACCTACTGTGTAGCACAGGGAACTATATTCAGTATTTTGTAATAACCTATATGGGAAAAGAATCTGAAAAAGAATACACACACACACACACACACACACACACACTCATATATATATGTAAAACCAAATCACTTTGCTGTACACCTGAAACTAACACAACATTTAAAGCAACTATACTTCAATTAAAAAATAAATGAATTAATTAAAAAAAAATCCTGCATGGGTTCCACGAGCTGCAGCATTTGATTAATGTGTGAACATATTTCTAAAAAGAAACTTGAATGAAATTTTCAAGACTGTGAAAAAGTTTTCAAGAATGGGAAAAGAAATTTAAAAAACAACAAAACAAGTGGTAGTTTCTTAAAATTTGTGCCTAAATAAACCATATAAATAAATTTTTCATACTCTGTTCCATTAAAAAAAGTTATTTCAAAATAAAAATATTATAAAAATTAGGGTTATAAATACAAATAATCAGATTGAGAGATATGTACTGTGATGGACTGAATGCTTGTTTTCTCCCCCCAAAACTCATATGCTGAAACCTAATCCCCAATGTAATGGTATTTGGAGGTGGGGCCTTTGAGAGGTGATTAGGTCATGAGGGTGGAGCCTTCATGAATGGGATTACAGGCATACCTTGGAGATATGTGAGTTCTGTTCAAGAAACTCCCAATAAAGTGAATATCTCAACAAAGCAAGTCACACACTATTTTTGGTTTCCTAGTGCATATAAAAAGTATGTTCACACTGTACTGTAGTCTATTAAGTGTGCAACAGCATTATGTCTAAGAAAAAATGTACATACCTTATATTAAAAACACTTTATTGCTAAAAATGCTAATCTGGGCCTTCAGTGAGTCCTAATCGTTTTGCTGGTGGAGGGTCTTGCCTCGATGCTGATGGCTGCTCACTGATGAGGGTGGTGGTTGCTGAAGGTTGGGGTGGCCATGACAGCTTCATAAAATAACAATGAAGTCTGCATCATGAATTGACTCTTCCTTTAACAAACAATTTCTCTGTAGCATACAATGCTAGTTGACAGCATTTTACCCACAGTAGAACTTCTTTTCAAAATAGAAGTCAGTCTTTTCAAACCCTGTAGCTGCTTTATCAACTGAGTTTACATAATATTCTAAATGCTTAGTTGTCATTTCAACAATTTTCAGTGCATCTTCAGCAGGAGTAGATTCCATCTCAAGAAGCCATTTTCTTTGTTCATTCATAAGAAGCAACTCCTCATTCATTAAAATTTTATCATGCAATTGCAGTGATTTAGTCACGTCTTCAGACTTTGCTTCTTATTCTAGTTCTCTTGCTATTTCCACCACACGTCCACTGAAGTCTTGAGCTCCTCGAAGTCATCCATGAGGGTTGGAATCAACTTCTAAACTTCTGTTAATGTTGATAGTTTGATCTCTTCCCATGAATTGTGAAAATTCTTAATGGCATCTAGAATGGTGAATTTTTTCCTGAAGGTTTTCAAATGACTTTACCCAAATCCACCAGAGGAATCACTGTCTATGACAGCTATAGCCTTATGAAATATATTTCTTATAGAATAAGACTTGAAAGTTGAAATAACTCCTTGATCCACGGGCTGCAGAATGTATATTGTGTTAGCAGGCATGAAAAACAACCTTAATCATAATCATACATGTCCATCAGAGCTCTCAGGTGACTGGGTGCATTGTCGATGAGCATTAATATTTTGAAAAGAATCTTTTTTCCTGAGCAGTGTGTCTCAACAGTGGGCTTAAAATATTCAGTAAACCATGTTGGTAAATGGATGTGTTGTCATCCAGGCTTTCTTGTTCCATTTATAGAGCATAGGCAGAGTAGATTTAGCATAATTCTTAAGGGCCCTAGGATTTTCAGAATGGTACAAGAGCATTGGCTTCAAGTTAGAGTCACCAGCTGATTAGCCCTGAGAGTCAAAAGAGTCAGCCTCTCCTTTGAAACTTTGAAGCCAGGCATTGACTTCTCTCTAGCTGTAAAGGTCTTAGATGGCATCTTCTTCCAATAGAAAGCTGTCTCATCTACTTCTTCTACTAGAAAGCTGTCTCATCTACTACTCATCAACAGAAAAATCTGTTGTTTAGTGTAACCACCTTTGTTAATTATCTTAGATGGATCTTCTGGATAAGTTGCTGCAGCTTCTACGTCAGCACTTGCTGCTTTACTTTGCAATTTTATCCTATGGAGATGGCTTCTTTCGTTAGACTTCATGAACAAACCTCTGCTAGCTTCAGACCTTTCCTCTATAGCTTCTTCACCTCTCTCAGCTTTCACAGAAGTGAGAAGAGTTAGAGCCTTGCTCTGTATAAGCTTTGGCTTAAGGGAATGTTGTAGCAGGTTTGATCATCTATCCAGACCACTAAAACTTTCTCCATATCAGCAACAAAGCTGTTTCGCTTTCTTATCATTTGTGTGTTCACTGGAGGAGCACTTTTAATTTCCTTCAAGAACTTTTTCTTTATGTTCACAATTGGGCTAAGAGTTTGGCACAAGAGGCCCAGCTTTCAAGCTACCTGGGCTTTCAACACGCCTTCTTCACTAAGTTTAATCATGCCTAGTTTATGATTTAAAGTAAGAGATGTGAGACTCTTCACTTGATGGCTTAAAGGTCATTGCAGGATTATTAATTAACCTAATTTCAAAGTTGTTGTGTCAATAGGGAGGCCCAGGAGAGGGAGAGAGATGGGGGAATAGCTGGTCGGTGGAGCAGTCAGAACACACACATCTATTGATTAAGCTCACCATTTTATATGTACATGGTTTGTGGTGCCCCCAAACAACTGCAATAATTACATCAAAGATCACTGATCACAGATCACCATAACAAATCGAATAATAATGAAAAAGTTGGAGGTATTACCAGAATCACCAAAATATGGTACAGAGACACAAAGTGAGCAAATGCTGTTGGAAAAATGGCATCAGAAGACTTGCTTGATACAGGGTCGCCCCAGACCTTTGATTTGTAAAAAAACGCAATGTCTGCAAAACGCAATAAAATGAGGTATGCCTGTAGAACCCTTATAAAAGAGACCCTAGAGACTCTCTCACCCATTCTGCCATATGAGGACACAGTGAGAAGAAGGCTGCCTATAACCAGGAAGTGGGTTCTCACCAGACACCCAATCTGCTGGCACCTTGGTCTCAGACTTCCCAGCCTCCAGAACTCT